GTGCATCTCTTTCAATTTCAGTGCTGGATGGATTCCTCATTTTCAGTTGATTTTTCTATGGTTGGGGGGTAGCAAAGTGGGAACACATTTCCCCACATGGCTTACTTAAAAACCCAAAACACCACAAATTGCCCGCGACGCTGAGCAAACCCACTTTTTAGTTGACTTTGCTGTGCAGCACGCGACGCTGCTGAACGGCAGCAGCATCACTGTGACGCTGCTGTGGGTGGGAGGGAGAGGGGGAAGGGGAGAGACGGACGAGGGAGGGGGAGGCGAGAATGGAGGGAGAGGGGAGAGAAATTGTCAGAGTTGATTTAGGGTTTGGGGGGTAGGAAGTAGGGTGGGTATATAAATTAATTTAAAATATTATTATTAATATTAATTGTAAAATTAAAACCTAATTTTTGATTAAATAAAGCCAAAACCTCATCTTTTAAAATATCAAACTTAATGCCTGGTTTTATGTAATTACCACTATAATGAACTTTAAGTTCATTAGGAGGGAAAAAATCGTACTCCATGCTTTAAATTTAGGCTAATTCAATTTTAAGACAACAAGTTTACATTTTCAAAACTCGAGTGATAATTAAATTCTATTAATTAAATGAAACATTGTGTATAAACAAATATCAATCTCTCTCAAGTCTGAGCCACAGCCATCCGCCTGTCACCATCCCTTTTTACAGTCGTCGGCATCTACTTGTCACCGACATTCCTCTCACAGTCACCGACATCCAAATAACTTCGCCGAAAGAAAAATACAATTTACAGAGATCGACGACGACTGAGCATCTTCTTTAGTGACGAACTAATCGTCGCTCGGTGGCAACTAAGCATCGTTAGTTCAGATAGTAGAGAAAGGGAGCAACATAGCTGCTATTGAAGACATCGACTGAGCATTTTCGACGACTGATAATCTTCTTTTTCAGTGTCTGAGCAGTGCTGGTGTAATTTAAATATATTTTTTAAAAATTGGAAATTAAGAAATAGACCATGGTATAATTTACTAAGTACTCACCTTATCAAATAACTTCAATTCTTACTGTCGAGATCTGGTTAATTGAATTTGTGATCAGTTTGGAGAAATCAATGGCATGTGACCAATTCTCTTGGATCTTGACATATAGACATGGATCTGTTACCTTTAAATGGTGACCTGTGAACTATAACATGTGACCAATTAATATTGACTTGTGAACTATAACCAATGACCCGTGAACATCTATGATTTATACAATATGGCATGTGATTTGTAACTCGTGACATGTAAACTATAACTTGTGACCAATTAATATTGACATGTGAACTATAACATTTGATGTGCGAACATATATGACCTATACAATATGACATATAACTTGTGAACTATAACATGTGATCAATTAATATTGACATGTGAACTATAACATGTAACCTATACAATATGACTTGTGACCTATAAATGGTGACCTATGACCTGTGACAAATTAATATTGACTTATGAACATAAATCAGTCATTTATGAGTAATTCTATTTGATATGTGGCATGTAACATTGATTTGTGAGCTGCAACAAGTGCATGAAGACATGTGACAAATTATAAGTTCACATGTCACAAGCCATTGTGCACAGGTCAAGGGTCATTGCATCAATATCACAAATTATCTACTTTATTTGTCACAATTATTTATTGGCCACAGAGTAACCTAGTTTATTGGTCACAAATTGTATTTATAGAACCCCAACTCAATCTAAACCTATCACCAAAACCACCACCTGCACCACCACCATCATCGCCGCACTTCAAGCACCTCAAAATCCACCATAAAACCACCTCAAAACTGTCATAAAACAGCTACAAAAATCACATCCATCTCCATCTCCATCTCCATCTCCACCACAACCACCAACGAAAAAGTCCCAAACCCTTCGCTGCCACTACCTCAAAACCACAGAAAATAGAGACCAACACTTCACCACAACCACCAACAACACAACCTCCATCTACATCTCCACCATACCACAACCACCACCACCACCCAACAAAAAAATCCGAAACCCACGACACCCAAAAACTTCGTCCTAAAAAATCTAGCTTAATAAAATAAGGGCCACCCCCACTCACAAACCTCAATTGTCAACAAGAACTTAAGCAAAGGTGAACAATCCAGCATGTAGCACCCTCCAAATAAAATAAATAAAAGGGAGCTCCAAGTTTATGCTCACACACCCAGAACTAAAAACTCATATTTTATGCTTCACATTTTATATTTTGAAATATTATATAGA